CAGGTGGCTGGATTAAGACAGTCATTTCCAAAGCTACAAACCTACCCTCTGAGATCCTTTCCAAAGCTATGAATCTGTTACTAAGGGCCTAAGCAGACAGGCGGCCGTGGGCCCCCTGGGAAGGTGCACCGCGGGACCGAGGAATCCCCATGCCTCGATCCTGTGGTGCACTGTCATCGCCCCTGGAAAGGAGCGCTAAAATAGTGCTCTTTTCATATGTCGCCGAAAGTGCGCCGCAAAAGGTTGCGGCGCACTTTCTGTGACTTTTCCACCGCACGCTGCAGCGGGAGGTCCTCCTCGGAGTGTCGGCCATGCGGAGGGCCGGCTGCTCCAAGGACAACTTCGGGAGGGGGATGGGGCGCTGAGCGTGCGGCTGCCCCTCCCCTTCCCTGCGCCGAAGACGGCCCAATAAGCCGTCTGCTTAGGCCCTAAGTTCACAGCCAGCCACTTTGTAGGACTTACAGAGATATACACAAGAAATAAATCCTTATTTGTTCTGAATTTTTATTAGGAAAGTCTGTAAGTGTCAATTCCAAGTAAAGCTGGGGGGAGTTTGCTCTTGACTCTTACAGGGTGACCCCTTATGCCTTGCCAAAAAAGAGGCATAAGTGATCAAATCAAACAACAACAACAACAACACATTGATTTTCATGCATATATGCAAAATTTAAAACGTTTACAATATACCAGGGTCTTTCAAGTCTGTTTTTTATTAAAACAATGGCAACATTGCCCAGACCATTAGGGAAAAGAGACACCTAACATAATGTCAAGTATTGCTTAAGCTTCAGAGAGCTGCAACCCTTGTTTTGCTATCCAAGTATTTCATAAATGCTTCTCTCTCTGGTGGCACTGTGAAATTTCCTCTTGAAAGTATATGAGAATTTCCTCCAGCTTTAAGCCAGATGTGCCCTTTGAGGATGTCCTGCCAGCTAAGGGAATGATTCACCAGCATCAGAGGAAGGATGAAGTCACCTCGGGACAAACTAGTGCTAATCAATCTTTTGTGATTCTCTGCTTTCTGTTGTCACAAAATGGGGTATAATTAATGGCAAGTCCATCAGTTAATCACTGAGAGTTTTAAGCATGACTGTCATGGCAAATGTGTGTAATAATTGTGGGCTGAAACATATCAGGGAAAGGAGGAATACAATATGTATTAACTTAGAAGAAGAGATCTACTGAATCAAATTCTCTTGCTAACCGCTCTGCTTCAGCAGCAACCAGGCAAATCCTTCTGTGAATTTTATTAGCCTTTTGTTCAGTTAAAGGCATTGTTAAGTATATAGATCTTTATCTTTATTTATCTTTTCTCATAGGAGGGATAGCAATCAGTTTAGATCTGATAGGGAGCCCCCCAATTGACTTGTTAACTTACTGCCTACCACTGAAAAATACGCTGATCTCCTCAGCAAGGTCAAAAGCTTTTCCATCTCTGCATTCAAGGGCATAACTATATACTATTGGGATAATTCAGTGCTTGAGCTTTGTATCAAGTATGATAGGCTCCACAGATTGCAAAATACTGGATAGACAAGTAGGATTTTTCTTATGTAATGGAAATAATCAATCTGTGAGCTATCAGCCTGCAGCAGCTTCAGTTACTGGCAGAGTAAAAGCAAGAGGGGGACCGAAGTCAGTTTGTAAGCACAGGTTTATTATGTTGACAGTCCCAAAAGGAATTAGCATTCCAAAGTTTTGGGCCCCAAACAAAAGAAAATGGTTTCATTTATACACCTCCAAACAAAGAAATCCAATTCTTACACCTCATTGGATATTTCAAACCTTAAACATATAGAATCTCAAGCAATAAGAGTAAAGATTTCAGAATACATTATAATCTACTCAAAGCACATCTGACCACATGCCAATGCCCCTTATTTCAGAAGATGGTATCATGGGCCCCTTTGCACACAGTGCCTAGGTCTTTCTATCAGTGATTTATTATGGCTGCTATATACCACTCTGGCATCTTAATGCAGCAGTCCTTCAAAAGGTCAATCTGTTTCTAAACATTCTAAACATTCCTATTCAGAGGCCTCAACTCCCAGAATCCTCTGCATGTGGCCACTTGGCATCTATTTTTTTTAACATTTCTAACATGGATAGCTAAAATTATATTGATTATTGAAACTTTTCCATCTCACTTATGGACCTTGACTGACAAGAAATAGTAGAAGAATATCTTTTCTGGACAAGACCAACCACTCATTGAGAATATTGTTGGTTCTGTACTAACATTTACTGAGATCTTATATCACACACATCATAGGCAGGTTAAGAGACAATGGGCCTTTGCAGACTGCCAGAAATAGTGCACATTAAATTGAGGCACTGCCCTGGCTCAGTGCTAGGGAGTCATGGGAATTGTATTTTTTTCTGAGACATTGACCCTTCTCTGTCAGAGAGCTCTGGTGCCACAATAAAATATAGTTCCCATGATTCCCTAGCACTGAGCCAGGGCAGTGCCTCAATTTAATGTACACTATTTCTGGCAGTCTGTAAAGGTCCAATGTCTCTCCAAACAAACCTGCTTTAGCAGCCAGCAGCCACACTGAACAACAGAAGTCTGTTTTGCTGGCAATCAGGGTGCAGTGAGATGATGTTTCCCGCCTCCTTGTACCAGAAATCTCTAGTGTGACATACAGGAGCAGGATCTTTCTCTCAGCTCCTCATCCCACCTCAGATCACTAATGAGAAGGGGCTGGAAATGTAATCTTGCTGCACTCCAATCACTGGCAGAACAGACCTCTGTTGCTCATTGAGACTGTAAAAAGAAGCAGCAATTTTGGGATGGAGAGAGAAGGTACAGGAGGCCAACTGTGTTTCTCAGACACATATTCATGGGTTTTAGGGATGAGCATATTCACAAAAATGGTACCTATGGATTCTGTGTGTGTTGACAAAAATGCCAATATAGCACATTTCCTGCAGTGGTCATATCATGTGATACTGCCCTTTAACCAATACAGTTGTGGATGGATAACATTTTTCCATGCTATGCAATTGTTTATAGATCCACCCTTTATGAGCATCTACAGGAGGGAACTGATCAATTCATCAGATACTATTCTTAATGTTTCTGTCAGATGTTGTGTCATTACTCAATAATATCTAATTTAATTATCACTCTCCCTATAATGATGGATCCTCTTTTGCATACAGAAAGTACTATATTTTACCACTTTATGCTGCTTCACCTTTTTGATCTCTGGAAACTGTGAATTATGTGGGGCCTCAATTGTGAGCACCTGCAAGGCGGTGACTGTGTAGCACTAGATTTCCATAAAACCACAGGTACGTGACAGGTGGGGCTTTGTGTATATACCTCTAGGCAGCAGCTTTTAAAGCACAGAGGCATGTGATACACAATGCATAATCTCTCAGTGCTTTAGGCAGGGCCTTTCCCCCCTTATATTTCTTGAAAAGAAAAGAGCTAAAAGAAATACACAATGAGCCTTGACTGCAATTCTATTTCACTATTCAAAAAGCAGGGAAGCAAATGTCCATATAACTTCATTTTGTCCCTCCACCCCATGGAAAGGTTTCATTAAACAGCTGCAAGTATGATCTAAACCTACCTTGCAAACAAAGACTGTTGATTGAATTTCTTTGGGTTAATTTACAATTTGATCATGCGCCAATGAATATATGGGCTTAGTGTTTTCTGACGGTACAAAATAGTTAGCTGAATACAAAGGGTGAGATCTAATGTCTGGAAGCTGAAACTACTTCAACTCTGGGGTGAAACCTGATTTATTATAAAGGGGGATTAGCTTTTGGGACCTATCCAGTAGGAGTTAATGAGTAAACGGTTGACTTTTCATTATCTGAACATGTCTTTTTGATGGAGCTGTTCAGGCAGTTTGCTACTATGTACAAAAGGGAGAGGAATTCTAATTTCTCTTTCCTTCAAGATGGCATTACTATATAATTGAGCTCAAAAAGTGGCCAAATTAAAAAAATTAAAAATGATTAAAAGCCTCCAAGGTTGCAGAAAAGTCTATGCGGCAATTATGCTGTTAAGGTTTAACAAGTGTCTTCTCCTGACTAAATGAGAAAAGACTTTAGGGGAGCATTTAAGAGATAGGTAGCAGATGTTGTGAGTTTGGTGGTGTAAGAAGCTGAGAAGTATAAAAATATTTTGAAAACGAAGAACAGGAGTAGACAATCTGGAGCTCTCCAGATGTCTGGGGTGAGAATGTCCATTAGATCTAGCCAGCATGGTCAAAGCAAAGCAGCTTCATTTATATACTGCTTCATATCATGCTATGGGGTGTCTAAGCGGTTTACAACTGTAAGCTCATTGCCCCCCAACAATTGGGTATTCATTTTAGCGACCTCAGAAGGATGCAGGCCTGAGTCTAGCCTGAGCCCTGACTAGTACTGAACTTGCAACCTTATGGTTTATGAGTGAGTGGCTGCAGTACAGGCATTTAACCACTGCACCACCAGGGCTCCACCAGTGTTCAGGCTTTATGTATGTTGCAGTCCAACCTCCTGAAGGGAGTGAGGCTGAGGAAAGTGTGCCAGAGCAGATAGCTTTTGGGCTGGAGCAGCAGGTCGGGGAGGGGGAAATGTGACAATGCACTTTGTATCTCTGCGTATTAGGGGTCCCAGATCTCGGGGCCTGGTTCTCTTCTTTTGGCTATCAGGATGAGGGGGAGGAACCTGTTACCCAAAGACCAGATGGGGGGACTGGGGATGTCACCACCAACTGCCAGCAATATTTCAAATGTTGGGGAAATTGGCTTTGCAAGAGGCTTGGGTAACCTTTGGGCCATTGGCACAAATATATACCAATACTAACTGGGATGACTCCAGGTTTGGGGTGAATTATGAAGGTTTCATTTAGAAAAATGCAGAATGGAATGACTCACACAAGATAGCAGTCCAAAACAAACATAGCATACAGAGCTAACTGAAATGGAAATATGGAAAGAGGATAGTAGAGTTCTTAGGGGTTGCAGTGGAGGTATAATTATCTGTCCAGTGAAAGAGCCAGTGTAGTATAGTGGTTTGAGTATTAGACTAGGACTCTGGAGACCAGGGTTCAATTCCCAGCTTGGCCATGAAACCCACTGGGTGACTTTGGGCAAATCACATGCTCTCAGACTCAGGCAAAGGCAGTGGCAAACCTCCTCTGAACAAATCTTGCCAAGAAACCTCCATTTTAGGCTCACCATATGGTCACCATAAGTTGGAAATGACTTGAAGTCACACAGCAACAAGAACAACCAATGAGAAGATCATGGAAAGCTGGAGTGGCTCAGGCTGGGAGGTCTGAGGTGATGCAGATCAAAAACAAAGTGTGGGTGTGTATGTGGACTGGGTTGTGTGCACAGAGGTTAGGTTTTGAAACCATATTTATACCTTAAAACTAGCCCTAGGTGATGAGCCATCTGGCCAGACTTGTCCCAGGAAACAGCAATGGGATTCTGGACTCATTGATGGCTTTAACAGAAACAATTATCGGATCAATATATCCCTGAGATGGATGGATAGAACGTTTGACTGGGGACACAACAGGGAGTAGGCAGAGATAAACTGGCTTACTGTTTTGGGTGTGAAGAAATTATTTGTCTCAAGTTTTGAGAGGAAATGAAGATTACTTGAGGGAAGGAAGGAGCACTTTTGATTTGATGGTTTTGTTTACCTGGATGTATACATCCCTTTGGGGAAATGGTTCTTTTTTTTCCTGGAAACCCGAGCTAATGTTCTTGAAAGATTATTGATCTCTCAAAAACATGCTATCTCCAGATATGAGATATAAAAATACGAGGACCCCAAAATACAGCGTGAAGTATGCAGGGGTGGTTAACATATCTCAGGGTGAGAGCATTGTCTTGAAAACTGTGCATACACAGGTTGAATATCCCTTATCCAAAATGCTTGGGACCAGAAGTATTTTGGATTTCAGATTTTTTGGATTTTGGAATAGCTGTATTTGCATATATGTACATAATGAGATATCTCGGCGATGGGACCCAAATCGAAACACAAATTCATTTATGTTTCATTTACACCTTATAACATAGTCTGAAGGTAATTTTATACAATATTGTAAAAATAATTTTGTGCATGAAACAAAGTGTGTGTACATTGAACCACCAGAAAGTGAAGGTGTCACTGTCTCAGCCACCCTTGAAAAAAGTTTTGGGTTTTGGAATATTTTGGATTTCGGAATTCCAGGTAAGGGAGACTCAACCTGTATATATTTTCCTTATTTGCGAGACTTGGAGCTCCAGGCTAGCCAAATACATCAGGAGATCATAGTGTTTATTCCTGTAATTAGAACTTTATTTTTCTGAGATCCAGACAGCATTGGGGTAATACCAGGACATTTTAGGCTTTTCCCACTCCATTCTTGAGTCTTTTTGTTTCTGCCAGCAGGTTTTTTTTTTAAATTAATACTTTGTAGTCTTCTCTTTTTCATTTCCTTTACTCCTCTCCTGCATGTTTTATGTCAGACCTGCAGTGCTCTCTCTCTCTCTCTGTGCATGCATATACACCCACCCACACTTGTGCAATGGGGGGGGGGGGAAAGGAAAAAAGATCTCTCCCCATTGTTTTGCAAAACTACTATGTACTGTGTGTGGGGAGAAGGGAGGCTGTGGAAAGAGGAAAAGGCAGGGGGGGGGAGAGAGAGAGTCAGGATCCCCTGTTTAGTTTAAGGTACCAGAGGATTCTTTTGCATTGGGGGTGAATGGGGGTGATTTCATTCAGCAAAGTGATTAATAAGGAAGAATAGGCTATGCATTAAAATAAGAAGAGGGAGAGAGAAAGAAAGAGAAAAAGAGAAATGTGGATGTGAGATGGGAAGAACCAGCCCAAAGTGACATGCAGGAGATTATTGTATGGCCTAATAAAGCATCCTTTCCCCAATGGGATAAGATTGCCTTACAGGTTGCAATTGGGTGTTATCGCACACCAAAATGCTACCGATGCTGCTGGGCACCTACAGCCCGTCTCCCAGCTGCACTTAGCCCACCGATTTTCAAGTATGGGAAGGTTCTGTACTGAAAATCGGTGGGCTAAGCACAGCTGGGAGATGGGCTGCCTGTGGGTTGTAGTTACCCGGTGGCATCAGGGCTGTTTTGGTGTGCGATAACACCTGATAGCAACCCGTAAGGTGACCTTATCCCATTGGGGAAAGGACGCTTTATTTGAATATGCTCCTAAAAGTAGCTGATTGAATGAGCACTAGTTGCCAGTCTGGATGAGTCATTGGTCTTTTTTATTTGGATACTCTCTGCAACTGTGGTTGTTCCTTAAGGTATCACACTTAGTGACATCACCAGAGCCCATGTCCTGTGACATCCATAGGGTTTGTCTCTAGATTTCAGGGTTTGGCATTGTAATCTCTGGCCCTGGGATAGTCCTGACCTGACAACCTGAGACTGTGTATGCTTCCACACATGCAAAAAGACACACATAACACAACTCCACAAATACAGCCCCAGAAAATGTGGTGTGGTAGCGAGGAGAGTGTAAATGACCCACTTCTCTCTCTTCTGCCCTACTGGGTTCATGTCAGGCCTGGGTGCTTTGGAAAAGCAAGCATGAAAGCTTTCTGCAGCACAAAGTAAGATTTTTCTGTGAGAAAATAACTAAAACACTGAACTGACATTACTCAGTGACAGACACACACACACAGTATTCAGATACATTGCATGTTGCAACCAGACACTTGAGGTGGATGATAAAATTCTTTTGTATTATTAAAACTATCAAAAACAGTCTTTTGTCTATGTTCTTAACCCCATTCCAAATGCAACTGAAATCTTTTTATCTACCTCCTTGTGGAGACAATATTCAAAAGAAGTGAGCAAGCTCCCAACATGTGGTAAACAGGTTTGGACAACTTGTGACCTGCCAAATGTTGTTGGACCATATCTCCTATCTTTAGCAGTCTGATGACAACATTATGACAATATCAGGAGGGCCACAGGTTGTTCAGTTCTGATTCAAAGCATAACTGGAAAATTCTTAGGTCCTTGGCAAAGACATGTTAACAATACCAACAATCACACTCTATGGACGTTTTCACACGGGGCTTTAGGCGGAGGCAATCCTACCTCCCGCCGGCCCCACTCCGGCTCCTCTTCCAGCTTGTTCAGATGCACGCTGCAGAAAACCCCGCCCCTTCTGGTGCCATCCCTGCGTACGTCCGGCTTCTAGCTCCGTGTGTTCAAACGCACGGAGCCTTAAGTCCGGCATCCTTCCGGCATCCCTCCGGCCTCAGCACCTCCAACTCCGTCTTCAGCGGCAGAAAGGTAATTCCGACTTTTAAAAGGAATTAGCCTGCCGCCGCCGGAGCCATTCCGGAGTGGGGCCGGCGGGAGGTAGGATTGCTTCCACCAAAGCCCCGTGTGAAAACGTCCTATGTGTGACCATATTTCTATGTTATATTCTTTTATTTTTAGTAAAGCAGCTCTTAAACCAAAACCAGCAAAGCAAGTTTGAAATTCAAAGAAAAAAGAAGAAAGAAAGAAAGAAAGAAAGAAAGAAAGAAAGAAAGAAAAAACACAATGAAAAGTGTTTTGATTAAAGACTTCTGAATGAAAGAAGGAAATATAGGGAAGTTCTCCAATTGAAACCACACACAGAACACATTTTTTAAATGTAAACCTGAGCATAGTTTACCGTGACACATGGCATGACTAGAAATCAAAGAGATAAAGCCCTGGGAAAGTGTCATGAAGCCTGTACTCTATTGTTTAAAACATGAAGCATTTTAAAATATTACTTTGGTGTTTATTTTTGAGAAAACTTTCCCAATGGGGAATGAAAAGAGGTAAAAGCCCTCATTACCAAATCATGTGGCTGCAATTTTATACCCAGTTACATAAGGATAAGCCCCATTGAACTCAGTGGGACTTAACTCTGAGCAGACATGCCTGAATACTCCCCAAAAAACACCAGATCCTATCTGATCTTGGAAGCTAAATAGGGTCAGCCCTAGTTAGTACTTGGATGGGAGACTGCCAATGAATACCAGGTGCTTTAGACTACATTTCAGAAAAATGAACTAGCAAACCACCTCTGAGAATTTCCAGCTTAAGAAAAACCTATGAAATTCATGGTTTTACCATAAGTCAACAGGAGACTTGAAAGCACATACACATCCAGAGGTATGCATAAGGCTATGCTGTGAAATATGAATGTGCTGACTATATATTCCCCAAACTCCTTAAGACACTTTTCTTAGGAAGATTTCAAAGAAATATGAGGGGGGGGGAATGCTTTGAGAAATTTTGGCCTTGCATTCAGTTCCTCACAATGTAGCCCTTTCCAACAAGATTTATACACATATTCACCTTAACCACTGAGTTTGGGTATCATGAAGAGATAGCAAATTGCTACTTTTCTTATTTTTGCATTCTGACTGCTAGGGAAATGGAGAGGAGTGGTTATGGGAATTTCTGTCTCAAATGCCAATACAACTCGGTAGGTGCTATTTACCCTAACTGTGTGGGGATGGGCATCGTTTGCTGCTCAGTTTCAGGCAGAAAAATGTCTTGGACCAGTTCTGTTCACAGAGAGATGTTTTTGATAGAGATATACTTTTATTACTTCCAGATGTTTGGAGAAACCAAAAACGTATTACCTGGAACTGGGGGAAGTTGTACAGATGCAGATTTTATCTTGGGTCAGGCTTCTTAATGTAGAACACATCACACACACACACACACACAGCCACAGTTTGTCTAACTACAGATGTGCCTGCATTAGCTGCAGTCATTGCATCAAGCTATTCTGCAGCTTCCGTCAAAGAAATACATGAATTCTGAGGCAAATTAAGCTCTCCTGAAGAATTGTATCAAGGATATGAAGTGAAGGCATGCATCCCATTCCTAGTGCTCGCAATCAAAAGGCAATAGCTGCTCGCTCTGCTCTCCTTCCGATAGTGAGTGAGGAACATTGAAGGCTAATTCAGTAAGAGGATGGGCTGGTGTAAAAGAGAACAGATGCCCCTGTTCAGAGGTGCTACATCTAATGAAACTCCCCCACCCACCCCCTGCAAAATTGTTAAAGGTGTGGCAAAAAGATTACCAACACATTTGGTGCA